CTAGAGGGTCATCAAACTGATATAACCCACAGTGCCCTTACCGCTTCTCCTACAGCACATGAGACTGAACACATAACTGCTGTTCCAGTGGGCAGAGATCAAGAAAGAAAAGCAAACTTAGGTATGTTTAATTCCATTAACTTCTTTTTTTGCAGGTGAACATAGCATTTAATTTGGAGTCCAAAATGGGTATCAAGCTGACTTCACCTCCCTCTTTATATGTAGACTTCAACCCATATCTGTAAATTCAGGGGTGAAGAGATGAAATTTCAAACTATTGGTTAATCTTTGAGAAAAATGGGAAACTATACTAAAAGCAGCATAATAAACGATTTATCGTAAAAAAGTATTAGTGGACAGGTATACTATTGCTATACCACTTCAGATGAAACTGCTTATTTTATATTGAAAATTTGATATTAAAAGTTAGTTTAGCATTTCTAAAGGACATTTTTATGCGTAGTTTCAAGGCTCAATTATTGCAATGGTGCAAACCACTGATAATAAATTAGTATCTTCTTGGGCTAGTTAGAATTAAAGACACTTAGTGTTAAGTGTCCAGACAATCTCAAGAAGTCCCTTATGACCTAAACCATTATGTAATTCTGTAACTTCTGGCTCAGATCATTAAAAAAATTGCGCATGAAAAAAATATTTTTATTTACACTGAAGCAGATAACAGTAATTGTGCAACTGCACAAACATGAGCTTGCTGCCATTCACCTCTATCATGGCTAACATTAAAATGCTTAATTAGTCTGTGATGTAAAAAAATATTCCTACTTTAGAATTAAATTTTTACTTACTAGAAAAATACAGCTGGAAATGCCTGCACAAATTTAAGGAAGCATAAATCAAAGATCTTCACAGGAGAGTCTTTTTAGAGCACGATATACTTATAAAGTTAGGAAAGAAAAAATATTTTATTAAAGAATTTACTGTAACACCAGATTTTTCACTAGGCTGCAAACAACATTGCAATTTTAACCTTCACCTTTAACTGGTATAGCCTATATAATAACTTCAGCACCCCAGAATTTCAAGTTACCTTTAGAAGTTGCAAACCCTTTAGAAAAGGGGTCTTGTATTTAAGCACATAACAGCATCCTTACTTTCAGTTAATTTCAGTGTCAAGAATCAGAACTTGTATATCAGGAGTTGGGAATTTTATAAAAGTTTAAACTTTTTAGAAACTTAAAAAAATACCTATTGGAGGCTTGAATGAAATTCAAACTTAATGAATTAATAACAATGCATACATAAGGGATGGAGAAAGAGAAGCAGAAGGAAACTTGTTTATAATCAATGTTTCTCTAAATACAGGGAATCTGCTTTCATCAATACAAAGGCCTATACTTAAAAGACAAGCACGGGTAGATTATAGTCTTGATACAACAACAGAAGACCCTTGGGTTAAAATTTCTGACTGCATAAAAAGCTTATTTAATCCTACCATGAGTGAAGACAACATCCACTTAGATTTGCAACCTGGCATCGACACAAACAAAGAGAATCAAAATCGAAGCAGCTCAGAGACTGTTCTGAAGAAATCAGAATCAGAAATAGCTGGTTCAAAAGTGCTAAAATCAGATGAAAATGACACCGTGAAAAAGGGTCCTCCTGTTGCACCTAAGCCAGCCTGGTTTCGCCAAAGTCTGAAAGGACTGAGGAAAGCAAATTCAGATCTAAAACCACAGGCAGATCAAAGTCCTCCTGACTGTAAGAGTATTTCCAGCAAAGAACTGCAATCCAGTTTATCCCATGTCTCTCCTAGGGGATCATCAATAAAACAAAGAATAAGCTCATTTGAATCCTTGAGTGCTCCGCAGTCACCTGAAAAAGTACACCGAAGGTTTAGCCTGAAACCATCAGTCCAGAAAGAACACTCTCCCACTGCATCGGGGTCAGAAGTGGCTCCAGCCCATTTAAACAAAGCCTTTCTCCAACATTGTGAAACTGGCCAACAACAGTCCAAGTCACCTGTGGTCATGGGTACAAAGAGCCTAGAGAGATCTTCCTCTCCCAGGGAGGTCCTTGTGGCCAGCTCAGAAAAATGCAACAATACCAACACTGAAAATTCCTTGGGTCTCTTAACTGCAGAAGCCTTTACAACTTCCCATCTTGTATCAGTAGCAAAAGCACACAGCCTAAGATCACGGAGCTTCCCACTTACAGCTACCCAGTCTTGTGAGATAATGAAGCCGTATGATGAAAAGTGTAGCAAAATATATTCCATCAGCAGCCAGGTGTCATCTGCTTTAATGAAATCTTTGCTTTGCCTTCCTCAGTCTCCAGTCTCTTCTGGAAACAGTGCATGGGAAACTCTGGACACGTTGTCTCAGTCCTCTGTGGAGGAGGATGGGACTTCTTCCTCACCTGCAAGTGAGAATCATCACCTGGACACTGGGTTTTCACTAAAGTAAGATACAATATTTAAATATCAGCTTTTCAGATCAGCGTTGGTGAGCATCTGTGCTCACAGATTAACATTGTAAGGCAGCGGCACACAATAAATAGTAAAGCACAGACTAAGTTAAGAACTTTTTCAGAGCACAAAGGTTGAATGACTCACATGGCTGTTACACTTGCTTTTAATCTGTGCTATATAAGAGCATGTATATTTCACACTCCTCCTACTTAAGGAGGAAAATTTCTAGCATCTCGATGATAAAGAAGATTTGTCTGTTTTTGCCTGAGGCCAAAAGATTATTCCTATTCTTTTATTTGATAGATCCTAACTCTGTTAAGCTAATGTGATTAATTTACATTTCTATGTATTTATAAAGCTTACTATAGGAGCTACCACCCCAATTAAATGCAGATAAGATCAAAAGATAACTGATCCAAAATGGTCTGTACTACGCTTTTGTGGGTATGTTCTTTCATAAGTCAACATTTCTTTTTTATTCCTGTCACAATGTGACAGCCTCTCAGAATTGAGAGAATACACTGCGAGCCTAGCAGACAATGAGAAAGAGGAAGAGAAACATGAACACGGCTCACCTCAAGCATCCGGTGTGTCAGGGCAGTCCGTCATCTCTCTGCTTTCCCCTGAAGAGTTAGCAAAGCTTATAGAGGAAGTCAAATCGCTAGATGAAGCAACCTTAAAGGTAAATCTGCTTGTGCTTTTTGTGCATGATTTTCAGAAAGCTGTGGAGTGCATGTGCCTGGTTAAGCTTTGCAACTTGATATTATAATAAATGAAAGAGTGACATCAATATATACCAGTAGTAACGTTTAGCTCTTTTGATCAAAAATCTTGAGGTCTTCAAAGATAACTAAGCAAAAGTAATATCCATTTTAACTAATGGGATAACAATT